CTCTCTCTCTCTCCCTGCTAAGTGCAGCTGTTGCTCTCCATTGGATGATTTTTTTTTCAAACTGATTGCTAATTAGGATATCTTTTAGGGTTTTATCTGTAAAACTTGTTAAACTTGCAATTTTTGTCTCCCTTTTTTTCTTGATCCAAAAGGAAACAGAGAAAAGACTTTTTACCCAATTACGCACAATGAACTTCAGGCAGGGCATTTCTCAGTGTCCCATGCAGCATTCATATAGTTTACAACTACTGTACTGTGTGGTAGCCTTCTTATTATAGCGCTCACTTCAGCTTTGAATGCTTTGAAGAATAGAGCAGCCCCATCTCCCTTATTCTGCTCACATAGCTGAAACCCTGGGAGAGGCAGCGGAGGAAAAGGAGAGCCTGAGAAAACAGCAATTCACACACGGAACACAGAGACCCCTGGTAGCTCAACAAATGAGTGTCTAGCCCTGTGTCCATTCATATCGCCCCCTCGGTCCGCAAGCCTATTAGCCAGGCATCGCTCCTTGAAACATTCACTGTCGACAACATGTGGAGGCATCGCTATAGCAACCAGTGGATATGACATGTGCAATGGACGGGGACTCCTGAGCTGCTGAATATAAGGAGGGGCTCAGCCTTAACTAAATGATCACAAAAAAAAAAATCAACCCACCACCTCCACCTCCCCGTCTCTTTTCATTGGCACACAGACGCTGAAAGGATTCGCTAGTGGGGCTTCTGCACATTCTTCTTCGGCTCGGAAAATCAGGCGGGCATATCCCACATTCTTCTTCTGCTTCTCCCTTTTCTTATTCTCCGCGACTCTCTCTCTCTCTCTCTCTCTCTCTCTCTCTCTCTCTCTCTCTTTCCTTCCTCTTTTTCTTCATCTCCGTGTTGAAGCCGCGCTCTTTTGTTGGCGCCGGGGGAACGCATGGGACCCTCACATGTAGGGGGAACTTTTTTTTGGAGAGAAGCGAGAAAGGCTGGAGTGGGCGGCCGTGGGACGCGCGGACAGACGCTTCTTGGAGCAGCGCGGAGCGTCAGTGGCTAAACTCGTTCTCTGGAATACAGGACGCGGCAGCATCCTCCGTTCACTGCTCTAATGTTCGCTTTGCCTGGCGACATGGATTTGGGTAATTATCTCTTGGCTTCAAACGGCTGTCTGTCCCCTTTTTTCCTGTTCTTGTTTCCGTGTTCAGCGTGCAAGTTTAAATGCGTCATATGCGTAAAAAGCGCCTTCAAAGGTCGGCTTTTAAAACTTGTCCACAGAGCTGGCGTGACGCCGAAAGCTGCTTCTGTATCTGAGGAGATGAAAAAAAAATCTTGATTTAGTTTCAGGTTTCTTTATTAACGTAAACTTCAACGAAATATTCCTACAAACTGTGTGTAGTGATGTGAGCACATCTGGATGCTTGTGCAGGTCGGTCCTGATGATGCTGAGAAGAGAATCAATGATGTTTTCATTTTCATGTTTGGTTAAAAAAAAAAAAATCACGTTGTAAACTTCATCCTATTTTAAACTCGTGCAACTTTGCGCAAATTATTCCATTATTGGAGACATTTCCAAAAACCTGCGGGGTCATTTATTGAATAAAAAATAAAATAATTGTAATTCTTCATTTTGCAGCTTTTAAAAAATAATAATCTTGAATTAGTTAATTATGTTGGGTTGATTTATTTCTTCTTCTTTTTTAAATTGAAGTCGTATTAATGCAGAAAATATTTTTGGAGTGTCATAAATATGAGTGTGATTGTTCCATGTTAAAAAGCAGGATTGTTGCATCAGGACTTATTTTTTAGTATTTTATTATAAGTCTCATCATTTTAATCAAAGGGTTAAAAATTCCCCTTTTAGTGCACAGAAACTATAAATCATCTTATTCTGAAGCTGAACTCATCACGTGCAGCTCCGACCTGACGAGCTTTGAAAGATGGAGGCAGTTTGTGTGTTTGTCAGGATTCTGAGGCTGAATGGAGCCCAAAAAACACCTCAGTGCCTGACCTTTAGTCCGTCATTTAAATAATCCAGAACCCCCCAAAATCCATCTGGCCCTCGTCCCCCCTCAGATTGACTTCATTCTTCACACGGAGACGCTCTGAATGAAGAGAGAAACATGGGAGGACGAGAGAGAGAGAGAGAGAGAGAGAGAGAGAGAGAGAGAGAGAGAGAGGGAGATGACTCCAGAGTCCTTTTAGTTTGAAAAAGAATATCACAGATTTAGAAAATCCAGAAATACCCGTCTCCTTCTGCTCTTTAATTCTAATCCTGCAGAGCTCTCCCTGAACTTTCACTACTAAAAACATTTATGTGAAGAAATCATTTTCTTCTTTAATTTTAGTCTCATTAAATGGAAAAGCATTTTTCACATCTTGATTTTTTAGTATTCATTTCTTTTTCCTTTTAAGGAGATTTAAATAAATAAATCTGTTCATCAGACGTCCTCCTCAAAACACCTCGAGAAATAAAAATGAATATTAAAATAAAAGGGACGGGACATGTGAAGTCCTCTCTCTCTCGCTCTTTCTGGATCTCCTCGGGTTTCTTTCTTAAACGTTTATCGCCTTCAAACACTCCTTCATGCTCGCTGAGCCTCTCGTGGAGCTGCTTTCTCTCACGTTCATTTCAAGGTGTTTACCTGAGTGACGGCTTCAGATAGAAGAGGGCCTCCTCTTTGATTAACTCTATTACACTGTCATTTCCTTCTCAGAAACGATGGAAAGATTTGAGTCAAAGGGGATAGCTTGGTGTTTGAATCAGGAGGTCTGCAGGGGGCAAAAATGTCTTCAACACGAGACACATCTACAGGGTTTCCAGGTCCATTTTGCACGAGCTTTCTCAATAAGTTCTCCTGCATATAAAAAAATAGAGTTTGCATTTTGACAATCATTCCTGATTTGGAGCGTGGTGTGGAGGCCTCTTCATGCCTGATTGGAGACCTCAGCAGCGACCGGCGTCAGGCCCAGCAGAGCGCTTGCAAAGAGCCGGGTATTAGCACAAGCGCTAACAAAAATAAATAGCCAATTACCCGCCACAAGGTCGACGCACATTGCTGGTGGTGTGAGGTGGAGTGTTCTGCTCTACGTTTGTTTCTCTCTTCATGTTGTAGATTTGATTCACTTCAGACACTAACATCTTTCATTGTAACACACACACACACACACACACACACACACACACATCAGCATCCTGCTGGTGAACTCTGCACTCTTACAGACATCGGCCTTTTTTGCAGCAGATGAAATTAGATCGAGGGTGGTGAAGAAGTTACTTTGCACAGAGCGGCGAGTAATGTGTTTATTTTATGCAAAGACAATCAGACACGTTCTATCATTAATTATCTCCGCTCCTAATTATCGCTCTCCCAATATTGCGGCTCACCGGGGAATGTAATGTATCTCCACCGTAAATGACCACGAGTGGACCAATTACCAAAACGATTCTTTAACAAAAAACATCTCTGAGATGATTTAACTGCACATTTAAAAAACAGGTCGGCCATATTGAGTCCAGTTTTTTTTTTTCAACTGGTGTTGGACATTTGAAGGTCCAGTGTGAGCGGCTTGTGCGCCCCCCCCCTTCTCCCCCCTCCTCCTTCCCCACAGTCCTAGGAGCCATTAGCTGCATGCGGCTTGGTCCAGGGCCTAATCCAGCCCAACTCCGGACCAGAGGAGCTAATTAAGCTCAAGCTTTTTAGTATCCCAGCCTCCTGCAGCAGCTCAGTGCCAGCCCACCCCCATGATGCCAGGGAGTGCTAAAGGGGGTTGTAAATATCTATAGTGGGATTCAGTGTGGAGGCAGGAGTGGACAGGGGATGCTAATAGGGGGTATCTGAACCTGAATGGTTACTATAAGGCCGCTATTAGTTCTGTCTAATGAGCGGGGGCAGGGGGGAGGGGCTGATGGACATGTAAAGGTGACATTTTATAAACAAAACTAGCCATCAGTCTGCTGGGAGTTAGATAAATCTGCCTTGTCTTTATTGATTCCAACACCTTCACTTGACTGCTCCGACGACCCCTCACACACCAGAGTGTCAAACACTGGGCAAATAAATAAATCCAGCTTTACTTAGAAGAAACGTTTTCTTAAAGGAACAGCGGCGCTCACCAAAGTGCTTCACAGTCCACAGAAAATGGTGGCTCCAAAAGGAATGACATAATGATGAATAAAAACTGCAGACTGTTTCAATCTTTGGCTGATGGTTTGTTACTTTACCTCAAACCAGCTTTTTTATTCTGATTTCTTTGTGTGTTTATTTTAGTATTTTTTGATAAAGGTTCAGTTTTGGTGCATGAAGGCGGTACTGATATTGGCACCCTGTTATCAATAAGCCGCTGCCGATACTGTTATTGATTACGGTGTTGATTTGGGCGGCTGTGGCTCAGTGGTAGAGTCAGTGGCCTCGATTCGATCGCCTCAAGCAGCAACATGTCTGATGTGTCCAAGTTGCTCCTGCTGCTTCCTCTGCGGTGTGTGAATGTGTGTGAATGGATGAGTTAACGCTGATGGTCTCTTTACTCAGCAGCCTCTACCATCAGTGTGTGAATGGATGAGTTAATACTGACGGACTCTTTACTCAGCAGCCTCTACCATCAGTGTGTGAATGGATGAGTTAATACTGATGGACTCTTTACTCAGCAGCCTCTACCATCAGAGTGTGAATGTGTGTGAATGGATGAGTTAATACTGATGGACTCTTTACTCAGCGGCCTCTACCATCAGTGTATGAATGGATGAGTTAATACTGATGGACTCTTTACTCAGCGGCCTCTACCATCAGTGTATGAATGGATGAGTTAATACTGATGGACTCTTTACTCAGCGGCCTCTACCATCAGTGTATGAATGGATGAGTTAATACTGATGGACTCTTTACTCAGCGGCCTCTACCATCAGTGTATGAATGGATGAGTTAATACTGATGGACTCTTTACTCAGCAGCCTCTACCATCAGTGTGTGAATGTGTATGAATGGATGAGTTAATACTGATGGACTCTTTACTCAGCGGCCTCTACCATCAGTGTGTGAATGGATGAGTTAATACTGACGGACTCTTTACTCAGCGGCCTCTACCATCAGTGTGTGAATGGATGAGTTAACACTGACGGACTCTTTACTCAGCGGCCTCTACCATCAGTGTGTGAATGTGTGACCTGCGGTGTGAAAGTGCTTTGTACTCTTTCAGCACTGTTTCTGTTTTAGGAACGAGTGGAAACCTCTGCAGTCTTGATTTGCATGCTGCTGTAAATACAAATATAAACATTGCTCTGTCTCCTCTTTGTGTGTGTTTCTCCAGAGGGGCAGCCTGACCCAGATCCCCGTGGTGAAGGAGACCCGGGTGGAGTCGGGCCAGTTCCTGCTGCTCTCCGTCCTCTGCATGCTCTTCATCCTCGTGGCGCTCGCCGTGTCCACCACGTTCTTCTGCGTGCGGCAGCGCTCACACCTCCACATGAAGGAGAAGCTGGCCAGCCTGGGGACTGACACCGGAACAGATGCAACCGCAACCTATCAGGTAAGACCAGCCCCAACCTTCCTATTTTTGTTGATGAGCCAATCAGAGCCCGGCACACTCAGACTGCGCTCTATGATTGGACGAACACACACTCTAGGCAGTAATGTTTTATGTTCTGATTTGCCTGTGAGTGTGTGTTTGTTGATGTGTGTGTACGCTTCAGTTTTGTCATCATTTATTTCAGAACACATTAAATCTACATTCCATTTATTAGAATCTTTTTTCTTTAATTATTTTACATTTTTGATTTTTTTCTTCATCCAATCTTCACGTCTCGACCTTTGCCCATAACGTGTGTGTGTGTGTGTGTGTGTGTGTGTGTGTGTGTGTGTGTGTGTGTGTGTGTGTGTGTGTGTGTGTGTGTGTGTGTGTGTGTGTGTGTGTGTGTGTGTGACCTATTCCCTCTGTTCCTCCAGGCAGCCTGAGCAGTATTGATTTCTCAGCGCCGGGCTCAGCTGTGCCCAGCGTGGCACTGAGAACATATTTATCAGCATGTCGCGTTTACATTTTCAATATTTAATCAGGGCGTTCACGGCGCCGCGGAATCCATCAAAAGCAGAGAATCTTTCATCTTAGATTTTTTTAAAAGATATAAATATTTGTTTGTTCGGAATCTTTTTGTCCGTTAAGGTTCTTTCTCACGATGCCTTCAGGGACCGGGACGTTTGAGTGCTGTGGCAGAGCACATACTGTTGCAGACATTTTCATATTAAAGTCTGATGGCGGGCGAGGTTTATCCAAGACCTGGGCGTGGGGTGGGTGGGGGGGTGGGGGGATATCGCCATGACAGATCGTGTGATAGCGTGTGCTTTCAGGCGGCGTTTTGCTCCGGCCTTGCGCTGCCCTCGCTGTTATTAATTAGAGTAAATGAATTCTGTGGAGATAACGGGCTTTGGATCAGAAAAGCAAACATGAGAGGGTTTAAGATTGTAAAGATTTAACATAAAGTATGATGGAGGGAAGCGGTGAACGTGTTTGTTTGAAAGAGAAATGTTGTCATGAATTTTTCCATTCCTTTAGATCAGGGATGGGTCACAGCAAGGGGCCACATTCATTTAATTCTTACTGCCAGGGGGCCAAACTGTAGAATACGATAACGATTACAGTCAGTTATGTCTCAAATTCAACTCAACATATACCGCTGATAAAATATTATTATGGACATGATTCTGGTTTTCATGATTTCATGGCAGATTTTGTCATGTTTTCCGCATGTGGCCCCCGGGCCGCCAGTTGCCCACCCCTGCTTTAGAAATAGGCCTGAACTGACCACAACACAATCCTAACAGCTTGCATTATTCATTTTTCATTGTTAATTATCAATTTATAAACACAAAGGAGAAAAACAAAACAACACATCTCTTGCAACCTTTTTATTTTATTTTATGTATTTATTTTTATTGCTGCTGCTATTTTATTATAAATCTGTAGCGGTATATTTTATTTAGACATGTCTATTGCTGCTACTGTGTACAGTATATTATTTGTATATAACTTGTGTTTTTATTTTATTCTTTGTATCTGTGTGCTGTTCGATCCTTTGGTGTTACCTGCTGCTGGAATCTGAATTTCCTGAGAGAACCTTCCCAAGGGATTAATAAAGTTCATATCTATCTATCTATCTATCTATCTATCTATCTATCTATCTATCTATCTAGATGATATTTAATACCGGTGAAAGTTATGCCTGCTCTACACATTTTTTGAAGGCCTGTCTCTGCGTTGAGGAAAGGTGGGAGAAAAGCTGAGTCATTGGGAGAAGTGTAATCTCCCTCGCAGTCGTTCTCTTTGCAACTCTCAGAAACACCGGAGCCATCACTCAAAATATAAAAATATAAAATTAAACTTTACAATGTGCCAAAGCATCCAGATGTCTCTGAGTCTTCTGTAAGGATGTGCATTAAAAGTGCAAAATCTTAAAATCCTCCAGGACGTTTACTCAAAAGTTGGATCCAAATAATTATTTTTAAAGGGAGTCGTTTGTTCTTCTCCAAAGGGTTTAATGCACCGTTTAAAGATGACACTTTTCATTTGCAGGTAGAGAGGATTTCTTTAAGCATAGAGACAGTCCCTGTGCTGCAGACAGGTGTGTGACTCATGTGATTCATGCACCAGTTCCTCAAACCATGTCTTTTTTGACATAATTAGTATAAGCTCCATAATCCACAAGGGTAAGCCGGTAATCTACATCCAAGAGAGGACAGATCAAGTGAGCCCAGATACTGGATTTTAGAGAAATCAGCCCCGAACACAAAGGATGAGCACATAACCTACATCTAACTATTGTTGTGTTTGTGAAAAGACGATAAACACACAGGAGTCCTTCAAAGCTGCATTTCTTTCTGTGATCCCTCAGGAGCTCTGTCGCCAGCGCATGGCCATCCGGACGTCAGAGCGCGTGGAGAGGCCGGAGACCCTGCGTCACTCTCGGCTCAACAGTGTCTCCTCCCAGTTCAGCGATGGACCTGCAGCCAGCCCGTCCACCCGCAGCAGCACCTCCTCCTGGTGTGAAGAGCCCGTGCCATCCAACATGGACATCTCCACCGGTCACATGATACTGGTAAGGAGATTTTCTTCATTTGACTCCAGAAACAAAGTGAGTTAGGACTTCATGAGGGGGCGAACGAGAGGGAGGAGAGGAAGTGGTTTGATGTTTGTCGTCAGGCCCTCATAGACCCGGGGTCGCAGGGGGCCAGTATGTCCTCCTTCTAACTTTAGATTCTGCTCCTGAATGCTCTGGATTTGTTTGGACCAGAGAAGGTAGGCGCTTTAAAGACATGCCCCACATGACCGTTTTGGACGCCCCTCAGTTTGTCAGATATGAGAGCAGTTATCAGGTCAACAGGTGTTGCAGTGATGGAAGCGGTCAAGAGAAGTGGTTCAGATAGAAGTGATTGTACCCGACCTAAAAAGCCTCTGCATGTTTCTAATAAGCTCCACGAGCAGAAACGTGCTCAAACTAGGATCAATATTGGAGATGCTTTTGAAAAGTGGAGAGAGGTTAGAACACAGAAAGGTTTACAGACCCATGCAGAGCTGGATAAACACTGAAGCTTCAGAGTCCACCACATGGTGACCTGAGTGAGCATCCACTCTAGAGAGGAGGGGGGGGGAGACAGCTCTCTACAATGTTTAGAATTTAGACTGCAGTACCCATTTTAACCACTAGGGGTCAGAGTTACATGCTGCTCCTTTAAGTAGCTGAAGTTTGTTTGAATTTAAACTTTCAGAAACCGACTTGAGCTAAAGTAACAATCGATGATTTTGTAATTAAATCAAATGAACACTAATGGAATATGTGTGTATGTAAGGGAACGTTACATCCGCATTTAAGTGTGGTGTCCACAGATCTACAGGAATGGACTCTGCATTTATTTAATGTAAGCATATTTTAGTTTATTCCTATAAATGTTCTGAAAACCAGCAGCTTGATTTCTCTCTGTTCACCTGTGTGGATGTGTCATCTCTCTCTCTCTCTCTCTCTCTGTCTCTCTCTCTCTCTCTCTCTCTCTCTCTCTCTCTGTCTCTCTCTCTCTCTCTCTCTCTCTCTCTCTCTCTGTCTCTCTCTATCTCTCTCTCTCTGTCTCTCTCTCTCTCTATATCTCTCTCTCTCTCTCTCTCTCTCTCTCTCTGTCTCTCTCTCTCTCCCTCTATCTCTCCCTCTCTCTCTCTCTGTCTCTCTCTCTCTCTCTCTCTCTCTCTCTGTCTCTCTCTATCTCTCCTCTCTCTCTCTCTG